AATAGTAGCCCTATTTTTGACTGTTACTGTATGGGGGCAGTACCCAACCCTAAACCCTGAAAACGCAAAGCCCCCGAACCTAAGCCCGACAACCCTCGACCTGACACCGTTCAGGGTTTGGGGTTGTTTAGGGTTTAGGGTTGTTTAGGGCTGCTTATGGTTGTTTCGGGTTCAGGGTCTAGGGAAAAACTTTACACCCGGAACCCTACACACTGAGACCCTGCACAGGAAAACCTTCCGATGTGGGTTTCAACTCGGGTTCGGGGCTTGGGGAGGGGTGGCTTCGATTTGCAAGAGCCCAACTCCTCAAGTTTTGAATCGCAACATAGCAAGTACTTCTGAGTTCGGATAGCCTGCTATTTTGATGAACTCCTGCTAGAAATCTCCTTCAAGATCCAGACACTCTCAAACCGGAACCTGAGCTGTCCGATCCCGAAACCCCTAAACCCTAAACCCTAAACAACCAACCCTAAACGCTTCTAAACCGGAGAGACATAAACCCAAAACCTCAAGCCCCAGAACCTCCACCTCGAAAGCCCCAGGCCCATGTCTGAAATACAAGACCCTACCTCTACAGGCCCTTTTTTGAGCCCTACAGGCTCTTTCTTTTTTTTGTAACACCCTTACACACTATGAACCCTACACTTCAACCCTAAACCCTAAACAACCCTAAACAACCCTGAACAACCCTAAACAACCCTAAACAACCCTACACAACCCTACACAACCCTACCCCCTAAACCTAAACAGCCCCAAGCCCTTGCTTGGAGGTTCATGGATAGTTCTTATAACTACCCATGAACCTCCAAGTATGACCCGTTACATACCCCCTTGTAGGACCCCTTATAGCCCCCGTATAGAGCCCGTAAAGGAGCCTACAAACCATAAACCCTAAACCTAAACACCCCTAAGCGACATCCCCAACCTCGAGGTGTCGTACCCGGCGTCTGGCTGCTGGGTGTTCTGCCGCAGCTGGGCCCAGGCTGCGCCCCAAGTCCCGGCATACGGAGGTTTAGGGGTTAGGGTATAGGGTTTAGGGGTTAGGGATTTAGGGTCTAGGGGTTTAGGGTTTGAGGGTTTAGGGCTTACGGGGTTTAGGGTTTGAGGGTTTAGGGTATAGGGGTTTAGGGTTTAGGGTCCAGGGGTTTAGGGTTTAGGGGTTTAGGGGTTAGGGTTTAGGGTTAGTTTCGGGTAGAGGGGTTTAGGGATCAGAGGTTTGATGAAGGTAGAAGATGAGTGCAAGGGCTTCGGAAAGCTAACTGCTCACGTTTTTGATATGCATGGCCTCTTTAAACCCGAAATCTTAAGCCCGTATTGGAAGCTTAAACCATAGAGGCACAAGCCCAAATTCATTCTCCGACCCATTTATCCAGACCTGCAGTGTCCAACTGCCTAAGCCTTGGGTTATCAAGTTTAGGGTTTATAAAGTACCCTAGACCCTAAACCCTAAACCCTTTAAAGGACACCTCAGAGGAGCCCTTATCGAAACCCTGGACCCCGCAAAAAGTCCTATCGCCATCATCGCCATCGTTCTCGAGGCCTCCTTGAGGGGCTGCAGGGCTGCCATTGAAGATCGGACAACTGTGTTGACACGGAAACCTATCAATCCCCAAACATCGTAGGTTTTTTGGGCTCGAGTTTGGGATTTAGGGTTTAGTAGGGGCTCCTTGAAGGGGTCCCATAAGGGGGTATAAGGGGTCATTCTTGGAGGTTCAGGTAGTGTTAAGTAGGGTTATCAGTAGGAGAACTATAGTAGCTAGAACGATAACCTTTATTTGGAGGCTTATAACTCCACTTATGCCTTTTTTCAAAACATTCTGGGGTCGGCGGGGTTCTTGAAGCGCCTGTCACTGGCTGGTCCCAGGCGGCGTGTACTTCTCTAAACGGTTTAGGGTTTAAGGGTTTAGGGTTTGCTGTTAACCCAAAGCCGAGTAAACCTCAAGCTCCACAGCCGTGACCAGGTGGCAAGGACACCGCCAAGAAGCTCGACGAGTTTTCCGAAATCCACGGGGACGAGGGCGTCTTCGAGATGAACTTAGTCGCCGGCTTAGCCTAGCACTCGCGCAGAAAGCCTTTCTTGCTAGGCTGCTCACCCCAAGGTGCCGTGAAGGCTCAAGTAGTAGAAGGCCATAAATCCTAATCCTAAGCTCCAAGCGTTCAATTCCCTTCAGATGGGTATTGGTGATGCATGGACGAGAAAGCATTCCTTGGATTAGGGTACAAACAAACAAGGGCACGGGTAGGAATGGCCTGAAGACAGCCTGGCAGTTAACCGCAGAAACAGCCCTTAAAGGGAACCCTGCTATAGAGCCCTATAGTCTCCCTTAAAGGGAATCCTACTTTGAAGCCCTATAGTCTCCCAAAAAGGGAACCCTACTATAGAGCCTTATAGTCTCCCGAAAAGGGAACTCTTCTTTTGGCAAGGGAACCCTACTGTAGAGCCCTATAGTCTCCCAAACAGGGAATCCTTCTTTTGGGCCCTATAGTCTCCCTTAAAGAGAGAACCCGAAAAAAGAGCCCTATAGTACCTAGTACCCACCCTCTTCTTGTGGAAAAGGAAACCGAGGAGCTTCACAGGATCGGCGAAAGTCACCTCAGAGGTTTTAGGGGTTTAGGGGTTTAGGGTTTAGGGGTTTAGGGGTTTAGGGTTTAGGGTTTAGGGTAAGTTTAGGGTTGGCGTATGTTCTGTAGATGGCCGCGTCGCGGAGCTCCTTCGTTGGTGATGGTAAAAAATTCCTTTGCATTACCTTAGGGACCCTAAACTCTGGGAATTATGGTATATTCCTTACTAAACTATGGGAATCATGGTCTATTCCTTACTAAACCATGGGAATTATGGTATATTCCATAGTATGGGTAATGCAGGATTTCTATCATCAACCGTACTATACCAGAACAACGGACAAGCACAAAGCGCATGCACAGGCAGGCACTACACGGGCAGACTGTGTCACTCAATAGGCCTCGTAGACTCATTAAGTCCCAAGCCCTAAACCCGAAACCCCTAAACCGTCGCCCAGTAGCCAGACTGGCCAAGCACTTAGCATTTTTTCCTGCTTCAAACGATGCAGCCGGCACCGGAAAGAGCTTAGGGCTTAGGGTTTAGGGCTTAAGGTTCAGAGTTTAGGGTTTAGGGCTTAGGGTCTGTCTCAGGTGCGAACCTGCCGCCCACAAGTGCAAAGCTCCTGTTGAATCAGTGTGCAGCAGTGCATTGCTGACCCGCGGTGTAGCAGTTTAGGGGGGTTTAGGGTTTAAGGGTTAAGGGTTTAGGGTTTAAGGTTTAGGGTTTAAGCTTTAGGGTTTAGGGTTTAGGGTTCAGCATTCCAAGAGCTGCGAAGCTCCCTGTGGCCAGAGCCGAACGGTGCTGAGCCGATGAGCCAGATGCCCACGCCCTCAGTGTATCGACGACTGCAGAAAGCAAGAGCAACAATAGAGTTCTTCAGAAGATTGCCCGAACTGCCATCGGCCGTATGAAGGTTTTCCAAAGCCTCTTACTCTTACGCGCTATTCAAGATCCAGAAGCAAGCACCCAACCGAAAAAATCTCTATCCGAAACCATCAACCCGAAACCCTGAAGGGCCCCAAGCACTACGCCTCAAACCTCAAGCCTGCAATCCCCAAAGACCAAAATCTAAATCAAGCCCTCCCAGAAGATAAGATCAAATGAAACCCGAAACCTAAGCCCCCAACCCCAAAAACTGAACATAAACCCTAAACCTAAACCCCAAGACCAAACGGAAGCCGAAAAGCTTGTTCAAGGCTGGAAGCCGGCTCGTCGTCTGCTGTTCCTGGGAGGTGCGAGACTACTGTTCGGACGGGTTGGAGGTCTCTGTAAGGATGCTTTCAACCTGAATTGTACGTACAGCTTGCGTACGTTAGGTTCTGTAGGACTAGCTGCGCTGTTTCGCCGTAGTCAGGGCTCAAGGTAGGGCTGTATAGTGTACAGAGCGCTCGCGCTTCCCGGGGGCAACCATGAGGGGTTTCCTCCACCTGGCGGTGGTCATGGCTGCAAACTTCACTGCTCAGCCCGATGCCGACGACTCTTGGATAAAAATCCGTTTCTGGCCCGGAAGCTATGCCGAGCCGGAACCCACTCCCGAACCCATCGTTGAGGAAGACCGTGGCGTGGGATCGCGCCCGGTCATCGAGTTCCTCAGAGATTGGCTGGGAGGGTGGACTCTCCTCGAGCCGGAGCCCAACCCGGCTGGAGTGCCCTCAGGGGAGGGTCACTCCGAAAAGTCGGAGGATGCCAGCGATCACTGGTTCGTGACGTTCTGGCTGAACCTTCTTTTTAAAATCGCGGACACCGGTTTTGTTTACTGCGGGGCCCTCTGCGCTTCTGTTGGCTACGCGGCCAAGTGGGCCTACTGGCTTGCGGTGGCGGTTGTAGGGGTCTTTTGCCTCCAACTGGCCGTTTGGACAATTAGTTGGGTGGTCATACCCGTTCTTAGGCACACCTACGCCTTCTACCGGTACCTGACGGGGCAGGGCCCTTGGCACGAGGTAGTCAGGCTCCACGGGCTCTCTTCTTTTAGGCCGAAGTGGAAGGGCCCTGCCACCGGGACCCCTTGGACGGCACAGTATGTGCAACAGGAAGTTCGAGGGAGGAGTGAGAATCGAGAACCCCTCGATTTGTTAGTGTCTGACGGGGTGGCAGTCGCGCGCCTCAGGCACGGGGCCCTCAGGGGCCGAACCGACAGGCATGGTTACCTGGCCCGGTGCAACAGCGTACACTCCAGCAGCCATCGATACTGGCGCAATCAGATTGAAGTTGCGGAATGCGCGGTGCACCTCTGTTCCGCTGACCCTTGTACAGCACCGGATTGCGCGGAAGTCCATGTGGGCTTGAGCGCTGTGGCGCCCCGCTCTGAGGAGGTTGACCTTCAGGAAGTAGCGGGTAAGGGGGCCTTAGCCCGGTGCTGGACAGTCACCTCTTTCTGGGGCTGCCTTACGTGCGGGGCTTTCCGGCGATGTGCCTCGTCCTGCTGTAAGAGCGGGAGGAGAGCTTGCCGCCTCGCCCTTTGCTGTTGCCTGCGGCGAGCTTCTCGCCCGGGCAATGGCAGCGCAGGTAGGAGGGACCTTCACGATGATTCGGAGACTGAATCAGAAGGGGGAGAAGGGGATCATATCTGTCAAGCAGACCAGGTCGCGTTGGGCGGACCTGAAGCAAAAGGGCCCCTTTCGTTGGGGCCATGTAAGGATTGCAGTTGCGGACCACCCATCCGCCTACTGCAACCGGACGAGCGCACGAGCTGCACAGAGGACTTGATGTGTGAAAACGATGGGTACTATTTCCGCGCGTGCCAGAGGCACCGGGATATGTACGAGGCGTCTCGAGCCAAGAGGGCCTGCGCAGTAGAGGGCTGCAACAACGCCGCCAGGAGTGTACTCAAAGGAGTGCGCCTGTGCAAGCTCCACTCGGCTAAGGAAGAGAGGGGGCCGAAACCTCAGGGCGAAGCTAAAGGCCCCCGCGCTGTCGGAGACGTTGTTAAGGAAGCAGACAAGGAGGAGGCCGCCTCACCGCCTGAGGCGCGTTCCGCGCCCGGGCAAGGGGGTGTTGACTCCAGCAACCTTGCTGCTACGGGGAACGAGCAGGAGGACTCCAAGGATTTGGCCGCCTACTTGCAGGCAAGGCTGAATGGAGAGTCTCACTCCGTCGCTCTTCTCAGCACAGCGAAGCGGGACGAGAGCCTGACCGCAGCGAGCCGACGCCTCACAGAAACAGCAAAGGCGGCTCTTCAGAGGCTGCCTTCAGACTACCCGGAGGAGGTAACTCAGCTCATCCGGAGCCTCGCCGGAGCTCGCGAGAAGGGGGAGACGCCCGACCCTATCCTCGAGTTAGGGAAGAGGAGCTTGGCGCGGACCGCGGCCGAGCTACCTCGCCCGGTTGAGGAGCACAAGCCCGAGTCCTCAGTTGTGCCTTTTACGGTCCCAGCTCCGCGGTTCGGCGTTGCTACCGCTGCTCCACCTCAGGTGAGCGCAGCGCTGCTCTTTCGACAAAGGGAGGCCAGCAGGGCGACTACCAGCGACAGCGCGTCAGCGGTGCCTCTGCCGGACGGCCTCGTGTCAGCACTGAGACCCTCGCGGGCAGGTGCGTTCACGGAGCCAGAAGCACGCCCCACTGATGACACCGCAAGGGCATTGCAGACGATTGCAAAGACTCTCAGTGCCCGTGACGAGTCGTCCTCCCACGATAAGGGGAAATTAGCAAGCATTGGCCGCCCGGAAGAAAGACTCGTGTTCATCGTTAGGGGATGTGATTCCCTAACCGTGCCTGTGTGTGCTTGCACCACAGGAAAGGAGTTGTTCCACTCGTTGAAGACTGCCGGGGCCCAGGGAAGGCCACAGATGCGAGCGCTGCAATTTCCGGTGAACGTTACCAACAGGGTCGCATATGGGCTGGCCTCTCTTTCCATCGGGGGTCGGGAAGTCAAGTCTCTGCCGGAGTACGCCCTCTCCGTTGCCGACTTCCCCTTGACCTCGGAGGAAGACTTCGACAACTTCGTCCCGCCACCTGACAGCCGGCTGGAAAAGCGCCCACGCCACCCGACGACACTGACAGCGTGGTTTCGGGCTGCCCTTAGGATGGCCTGGGCGGTCGCCTGCGTCTATGGCACCGAGCACTACGCGCTCTTCGAAGCCGCAGCCACCAAGCTTCTACACCTGGGAGAAGAAGCAACCTATGCTTGGCCGCTCCCCTGGGTGATGAGCACTTGGGAAGAGCTCTGGAGCCGGATGGTCGAGGAACTTCGGCAACTGGACCGGGAAATGCGAAGGCTGATGGGGGAAGAATCCCCTTCGTGGGAAAGGATCAGGTTTTTCTGTACCTCGCCGGACGACCAAGGGAACCAGGGAACCCTTGGCTTCGACTCCCCCGTACGTTTGACCTGGAGGATCCCAAGGAGTTCTTCGCGTCGGACATAGTCCCGAGACACCAGAGGGCCCTCACCCGGAACTGCTGGCAGCAAGCACTGAAAGCCCTCAGGTCATGAGGTCTAAAGAGCTCAAGGATTTAGGAGGGGTCGAGGGGTTTTTACTTCAGCTTCTGAACCGCGGTTGGCTCAAACGGGCCTTCGTTTGGGGGGCGCAACGGGACGGGGGGCGCAGTTGTGCGCTCCGACTTTCGACCCTTCGATCAGGGACGCCGCTCGCCGAGGCCATGGCTGAGCCCACCCCGCTCCTGAACCTGAGTGTGACGGAGCTCCGCCCAGGCCTGGGGCGGTATGCTCGCACCTTTGGGGCTTTCGGCGCAAAGGTTTCAGCGCTTGAGCCGGGACCAAGTGCCGATGCGGCCCTTTTGGGGCAGAAACCCCCAAGCAAACCAGACCCCCTCGTGTGCAGCCTGGTGCCGTTTTCGTTGTCACACGAGGAGCTGGTCCGCGGCGCGCTTCGCGCCCGGACCAAGGCCCTTTGGGTTGACAGCTTGACGCAAGAGCCGCTACGGCGGATAGCCCAGCTCCTCCGCGAAAGGAACTGGAAAACTTGCGTGCAACAGTGCAGCGGACGCACCTTGGAGGACCAGCAATGGTGGAGGAGGTGGGTACTCTGTGGGACCGAGGACGGCGGTTCCTCAGACCCCCCGAAGTTTCTCTTCGGCTCTGCTCACGACGAGCCAGCTACCCCCGCTGGCGTCCCGAGGTGGCTGAAAACCTCCGCAGGAGGCTGGCACTACAAGGGGCTGAAGCTGGACTCGGCTATGCCCTACCTCGGGGCTACCACGCCGAAGCCCGCAGGGATTCGCGCCACAGAAGACGGTAAACGCCAGCTCCTCTGGGACCCCAAGAGGCCGCTCCCAGCCTTGCACTCCAGAAGCTGTGGCTGCGACTGGGACGAGACCGCCAGAGCAGGCCTGAAAGAACCCGCCCCTGACACTGGCAGAGGCAGCCACTGTCTGGGCAGCGAAGGTTTTGGCAGTTCCCGGCACGAGCTTGCAACCCGTGGAGAGCGTTAAAGCAGGGGTTTGCACGTTGGCTTGGGACGCGCACACTCGGGAGCGCTTTCTCGGGTGGGTTGACCAGAGCAGGGCGGACCGCGCAGAAGGGGGGACTCCCCGAGCCGCGGCGCGTTCCGCGCCCGGCTCCGAGGGAAGCACCCCTGAAGGTGCCAAGGGACCGACCCCGGCTGGTAGCAACACGCTCGGCCCCAGTGCCAAGCAAGCCGAGCGAGAGGCCTCCGAGCTGATGAGCTCATGGGCCGACCACTCAGGTTACCGACCAGTGCCCGATCGCCTCGCAGGCGGTCCAATTAAGGGAAAGGGCGGCAAGCCCTCCAAGGGAAAGGGTGGTCAAGGACAGGAGGCTGGAGGTGGACAAGGCCCTCTCCCGCCTTCTGAGGCAAGAAGCGGGTACGAGAGACATACCCATCACGGCTGACGGGTGGGTCCTTGTCCGGGACGCCTTGAGGTTTGAGCCCCTGTCCCGCCTGGGAGTCGTCGAGGGGCAGCTGAGAACTGCCATCGCCAACAACACCAAGGCCAGAATTTCCTGGTACGACGCCGGGGGAGAGGGCGATCACATGATCGCCGCCTGGTCGGGACATACCATCCCGGATGTCACCGGCCCGGGGTGGCGTGTGCCTGAAGACGAGCTTCCCTCGGTGCTCGTTCATGGGACGTACCAGCGCCACCTCAACTCGATCAAGGCGAACGGCCTCCTCAGGACCCGACGCGACCTACACTTCCAGGACCCGGAGTGCCACCAGCGGCGTTGGAGGAACGACTTGGAGGTCAAAGTTACCATCGACCCACGTGCAGCCTCCAGGAACGGATGCACTTTCAGGCGCACCGGCAACGGCCTGTACCTCTTCCACGAGAGTGTGCCCGCGAGCTGCATCCTGGATTGTGGGCCCTGGGACAACTTGGTAGGAGGCGTGGACCGAAGGACTGCCGCGGCCAGCACAGGCGAAGCCGCCGGCCTTTGGCCCCCTACCCAACCGGCCTCCTTCCAAGACGAGGTCGCTGAGGTCGCCAACAGGTTAGCGCAGGTTAGCCTCCACGACCAGGAATACCTCGTGGTCGACGCAGAGACCTTGGACACTCAAGCTGCAGACCGAGAAGAGGTCACGAAGGACCTTGAGGAAGGGAACTGCGAGCTGGCCTCCGACCTCGACTGGAGCGCCGACGAAGAAGACCTTGCTGTGGCCCAGGCCGAACCTGGGGAACCGGACCTGGACGAGCCCATGAAGGAAGCCATAGGGGAAGGCCCCGCGGCGCGTTCCGCGCCCGGAGCCCGAACCCAAAACGAGACCGAAGGGGTGCGCCTGGACCAACCCACGGTAGTCTCCCTCCAGACGGGGGACAGTGACGAGGAAGAAGCAACCTGCGAGCAAGCCCGCGTGCCTGGAGCTCGTCGTTCGCTCCGACCTACAACCTGCAGAGAACCACCCCCTCCGACCAAGGGACGGCACCTGTAGTGCTTAAAGAAGGCCCAGGGGCCGGGCCCACCACGGAGACCCCCGAGCGAGACCTTGGGGAGCAAGGTGCCGCTCAGGTTGGTTACCTCCCAGCAAGGGCGTGGGCGCGCCTCTTCAGAACCACCACCCCGACCCACAGGCAGCGGAGAGCTTCGGGCTCCCTCGGCGGACCCACCTCGCAGAGGGCGGAGGAAGATCGTCTTCGGGTCCTCCAAGCTGCTACTACTGGCGTCAGTGGCGCAGGCGGACAACGCCAACTGGGCCAACCTGTCTCAAGCGCTCCTGGAAGCCAACGCGAGCGGCGCCGAGAAAGCTGAGACGCTTGAGCGGCTCCGGCAGCTCGCCGAGGGCCGAAGAGCCAGCAGACAGGGGCTCGAAGAAGCAGCGCGTCAAGAAAGGGCCCGAGTAGCCCAAGCAGCCGAAGAGGAAGAGCGGTACCGTGCCGGACTGAACCCGGAACTCCAACGTCTCGAACGAGCCAACCCTGTCGGCCCTCGACAGGGCGAGCCGGTCCTCACCAACAACCGACTGCAGGCCGATATCGAGGCCGGGGTTCCTGTTTGGGTCGCACGGAGGAGGCACCGAGCCCGGGAGAGGGCCGCGAAGCACCAGGCCGACCAGGCCAAAGTGGGAGCCCCCCCGCTCAACAGCGCCGGTTCGGAACAGAGGAACCCGGACGAAGGAGGCAAGGGCTTGGACGAGGTCCGCAGCTAAGCGAGACCGAAGAACCCTCCTTCAGCAGGAGGGGGGCACGCAGTCCCTACGGCGCCAGCCGGAATCTCAGGCTCGCAAGAAGCGGAGGAGGGAAGAGCGTAAAGCCAAAGCGAAGGCTAGCTCCTCCACGGGAGCCACCTCTTCCCTGGCCGCAGTAGCAATGGCATCCCTCCCCTCCGGAGCAAACGCTCTCCTTTCTCTGCCGACCTTCCCAAGGCGCCCCGAACCCTGCCTCGCTCTCCCCACTGGGGCCCTACTCCTTTGTCTCCTGGTGGCTTTCCTGGCGGTGGGTGCTGCGGCGCGCTCCGCGCCCGGCCCCACGGAAGGGAAGAAGCCCCACACCGGCACACGGTGCAAGGGGGGTCGGCAGGGCCCTTACTCTACTCCTCCTCTGGGCCTGGATGCCTTTAGCGGGAGGTGAGGAAAGAGAGGCGGCGGCCCCCGACGAGCGGAAGTGGGATCTACCCTACTTTCTTCTCTTGGTGGGTTTGGCCTTTGTGGGAGCCGTCTCCTTGCTGACGCGGCTCACCCACGCACAAAGGCCTCGCACAGTGAAGGACTCCTGGACGCAGACGTCGCCCCCCACGGACCGAAGCACCAACCCGGCGCGCCTTCCCCAGCGAATCGGAGTCACTGCCTCGGGGGACTGCTACCACGAGCCCGGCTGCAATCACATCCGAGGCCGCAAAGCCCGAGTCTACCGACCCTGTTTGGACTGTTTGGACCTTCCTCCGAACCTACCGGAGGAGGCCAGCCCTTCGAGCGACCAGCTCAGGAACCAGGACCGGCCGAGACCAAGGACCTCGGGACAAAGGACGCCACAGGGTCTGGGGTGAGAGCTCCTCCGGCCGAACACACCACCCTTACGCCCAACCTACTCCACTTGAGGGTCTGGTCCCCGCCTCAACCGCTGTCGTGGTTTTAACCCTTGCGGTAGTTGGCGTTGCGATGCTACTACAAGGATGTAGGGCGGACCCGCGCTTCTCGGCCCCGAACCCTGAGGCGAGTTTCTCGCCCGGGGCCGAAGGGCTGAGAAGGGCAGGAGCTTCGGTGCACTTCGAAGACTCTGGACCTATCGTGCCCCCCCCACACACAAAGGGGCCAGAACGAAGGCCCAGACGCCAACGCCGGTCACAGTACCCTTCGTGGGAGGTCCGAGTAAAGCTAAACAGCTCTACCCGGACAGCAAAGAACTCCGGGTGGCGCACTTGCAGGGAGGGGGAGAGTGGAAGGCGGAGACCCTTCACCTTCTCCTGGCCCGACTGGCCGAAACCACCCAGAAGTCATACCTCTCACAGTGGAGGTGGTGGGAGCTCTTTGTGCTCGAAGGGGCACTTCCCCGTGGAGAAAAGTCGCCGCGTACTCCGCTTCCGAGGAAGACCTCTTTGTGCAGTATGTGGTGCACTGCGGGGTGAACTCCGACAAGGCTCCCGGCACCGTGAAGGGCAGACTGGCGGCGATTCGAGCCTTCCACATCACCAGTGGTCTCCCGGACCCCTTTGCGCAACTCCCCAGAGTTGCGCTCGTGGTGGCAGGGCTGAAGAAAAGGTACGGTACGAAGGAACGGCGTAGGCCAGTGACACCAGAGATGTTGCGATGGCTCTATACGCACCTTCACGGAGGGACGCTTGACCAAACAGAGGCCGCTCTTCAATGGGGAGCCCTCTGCCTGGCGTTTTTCTTCCT